ACACACCATTCCTGGGACTTCACTCCGGGAATCAAACTGACTGTCCTAGTTCGTGCAGAAACACACTGTCAGCCGTAAGAATTCCAGAACATGCTGGAACTGCATTAAGACGAATGTGCGTGGCGGTGAGGCGCGAGAGCCACATGTTGAAAAGGAACGGCCTTCCATCCGCGAAACTCTTGCAAAATTTCGAGGCGAATGCTCGCGGCGCTAAGGCGACAACTACATTCTGAAAACGGCCCGTCCTTCATCCGTGAAAATCGGCGAGTGTGCGCGGCGCTATGGCGAGATCAAAAAATTGAAAAGGAAAACCACTCCCGTGTGTAGAATTCTTGCGAACTTTTACGACGAGCAAGCGCGGCGCTAAGGCGAGAGTAACGTTTTGAAAAAGACTCGCCTTCCATCCGTGAAACTCTTGCAAACTTTCGAATCGAATGTGCGCGGCGCTGGGGCGACACCTACATTTTGAAACCGGCCAGCCCTTCATCCGTGAAACTCGACGAGTGTACGCGGCGCTACGGCGAGAGCCAAATTTTGAAAAGGAACCGCCCTCCCATGCGTGAAACCCTTGCAAGCTTTTACGACGAACGTGCGCGGCGCTAAAGCGAGAGCCACGTTCTGAAAACGGACCACCCTCCATCCATGAAACTGTTGAGAGCTGGAGAACCGAAAGAACGTGAACGGTGAGCAAGTCTCAGGAGAAACGCCCGGCCCGCCCCACCGACACGTCTCGGGGAGCGACAGAGAGGAGCTGTCTATACCCATCGGTCGGAAGAAGTAGGTAGAAACATGAAGTAGGAAGGCGTTGGAAATAGATTGGGTTTCCGCCCGCCTCCTGAAGAGGAGGGAAGAGGGAACACCACTCGACTCTTGAAGTAGGAAGGCGCTGAAAGTAGATTGGAATATGGGAATCCAAAAATACCTACTTTCAACGACCGATGGGTACGGAAACGGGGTGGAGCGGGAGGAAGGAGAAGGAGAAGAGGACCGGCACATCGCTACCCGCTCCTCCTCGGACTGCAGGCGATCCCCCCCCCTCCCCGCGGGTCTCCACGGGGTCTGGAGCGCCCTGCCCGGCGTGTATGCGGTGCCGCCTCCGCAGCGCGGCCACGGCCTCCGACCTCGGGGGCGCACTGACCCGGGCCAATGCACACCCGGGTCAGTCAGGCGCTGCTGCGCGCTAGCCCGGGTCAATGCACTCCGAGCACTGCAGGGTGCTGCAAGATCCGGCGCGCTGGCTGACCCCCGTTTGCGTCGACCCCCCGGCTGTGGGGACACAAACAAGTACCGACCGATGCCGCTGCTCCCCGGACCTGTCCCGAGGTGCGTTCTGACCAAACATGCGAGGCGAACGCAGCCGTGGCGACGAGGGCCTCCCAGGAGGGCCCACAGGGAAATCGAGGCAAGGGCAGCGGTATCAGCACCCTTTTCCTCCTCTGAGTCTCAAGCCTCCCGACGACCGCCGCGCACCGCCGCCGGCCGCCTCGGCGCCGCCCGCGGCGCCCGCGGCGCCCGCGGCGTCCTCGGCGCCGCCCTCGGCGCCCGCGGCGCCCCTCCGCCTGAGGGGCAACGTTAGGGGGGACTGGCAGAGGGGGGGACACACCAGCCTCGAGTCGGCAATACGTCGCCGATAGATCGGCGATGGGCCCCCGATAGCGACACCGCACCTTCCTGGGCGGGGTGGGGCTATCAGGCCCCGATCGGCAATCACTGGGCGAATTGGGGCCGATGCGTCCCTCCCCCTTATCGTTGCCCCTGGTGTTTGGGCCATAACTCGGCTCACCAGGGCCGTTCGGGACGATCCGCCCCCCCCCGCAACGCCCTCGGCGAGGCGCAGCTGCTGGAGGGCACCCAGAGGCTGGAAAGCCGCCGAGAACCAACGGAAACGCCCCAAAAAGCCCAAAACTCGACCCTCGAAACTTGGGCAAGCCTACCCAGAATGAGAAAAACGCCATAACCGCAAACTGTTGACGCTCTGCTTCTTAGTATTATTATTACTATTATTATTATCATTATTATTATTATTATTATTATCATCATTATTATTAGTATTATTATTAGTATAATAATTATTATTATTAGTATAACTATTATTATTATTAATATTATTAATATTACTATTCTTATTATTATTATTAATATTATTAGTATTATTATTATCAGTATGAGTACTATTAGTAGTATTCTTATTAGTATTAGTATGATTAGTCTTAGTAATATGTTTTATTATTATTATTACTATTATTCGCAATATTATTATTAGTATTATTAGTATTATTAGTATTATTATTATTATTAATATTATTTTTATTAGTATTATTCTGCTTCTCTTCGACTGTCGTTGCCCCTGACCGCCGCCGCTTCGCCGGCGCGTCCTCGCCCCCGGCGGGCCGCGCCGCAGCGGGCCGCTCCGCGGCGGGGGCCTCCGCGGCGCCGCAGCCGAAGAAGTCCAGCGCGGGGGCGGCGGCGGCCCGCGAGGGCTCGCCCGCAGCTTCGCCGGCGGCGGCCTCGCCCGCGGAGAAGCGGACGGCCTTCGAGCGCCTGACGACGACGACGACGACGACGACGACGACGACGTCGACGACTGCGGGGGGGGGGAGGGCAGGATACCCGTTATCAGAAGTCTTCAGTTTGGGTCCCCTCCGCTCTTCTCTCGGCCGTGGATAGGACTGGTCCTAAAACCTCCTCCTGCTGCTCCTCCTCCTTCTCCTCCTCCTCCACCTCCTGCTCCTCCTCATCGTAGTCGTAGTCGCAATCGTAGTCGTAGCTGTCGTTGTCGTTGTTGCGCGGCGGGTGTCCCGAAAGCAAATTTACCCCCCATTCGTGGGACCCCAGTCCTTCAATAAGGCCGCCGGAAGAAATAAAACCCCCATTTGGGGGGTATTAAAACGTTTCAGGGTTAGTAAAGGGTAGGACAAGGAATCAGCTGGATTTTCTGGGGCCCCCTGGCGCCGGGAAGCGTCCGAGGAATGGGCCCGGCGCGGGTGGGGAAACCAGCTGCATGCAGCAGACTTCGTAAGCCCCCCTTCCCCTATCCTACCCTTTTCGTGCGGCCCGACAAAGGCGAGGTGCCCAGAGATTCGGGCGTGGCAAATTTGTCCACGACGGAGTTTTCGCCCTGCCTTGGGCCTCGGGACTCACGGATCGATGCGCCTGGAGAGTGGCGCAGGAAGGTCGGGTCTCGGGCTCTGGTCGTGGCTGTACGAGGTCCCAGTTCTTCTGACACGATGGATCTCGGGGTAGGATCAGAATGGGCAGAGGGACTTCGTGACGTGATGCGAAGGTTGCCTCCTCCCCCCTCCTCCTCCTGCTCCTCCTCCTCCTCCTCCTCCTCCTCCTCCTCCTCCTCCTCCTCCTCCTCCTCTTCATTCTCCTCCTCACCCTCCTCCTCACACTCCTCCTCCTCCTCCTCCTCCTCCTCCTCCTCCTCCTCCTCCTCCTCCTCCTCCTCCTCCTCCTCCTCCTCCTCCTCCTCCTCCTCCTCCCCCTCTTTCGAACGCCTGTCAGGCTTGGTCAGCATTGAACCGGGAAGTCGAATCGCATCAAAGTGTCAGGCTGGCTTTGCTCTCGAATCGCCCCCTTACCCTGGGCTAAACCTCCCTCCCAAGACATCCGACCACGTGATTTTCGCAGTACGCGGCCACAGGAGGTCCCGATCCCTTCCCCGGGGGCATTTCGTCGCACCCGATCCATTATTGACGGTCCTGGAGCCTGAAACCATGCGCCAAAGGCAGAAGTGTCGATCGGTCGATCTATGTGTATGTGTGTATATATATATATATATATATGTATAGATGGTAGTCTCTGTTTATATCTATATATATATATATATATAACTATGTATACCGAACTATGCATATATATATATATACATCCATATCTCTATATATATATACATACAAACATACATATACATCGATCGATATGTATATATATGTATATATATATATATATATATATATATATATATGTGTCTGTCTGTCGGTCTATCGATATATACACATATACATAAAAAGAACCAAATATATACGGGCATGCTGCTTCAAGCGATCCCCACCCGACAACGCGAGGCGAAATACCCAGGTATCACTAGGGCCTTCGGGGCTTGGCGGCCGCGGCATGCAGTCGTCAGTCAACGAAGACGCGGGGCGGCATGGCCCGGGAGCACCAAGAGCCCTGGGACCTGGCGGCAGCAGTACACCCTGCGAAATGCTTAAGAAATCATGGGTTAAGAAACTCAGAGTCTCAGGATTTGAATAAAAACCCAGAACTTCGATCAAAATCTTGGGATTTACATTGAAACATTAAGAATAATCGAGACTCTCGCCGAAAACTTACGTTTTCTTAAGCATCGCCCAGGGTGTATGCACGGTATGCGAGGCGGGTCGGGAGCCCTTCGCCAATGGAGGAGCCAAAACGGCATCAACGTGGCGCGCGGAACGCACCAGGGGCGGCGCCGGGGGCGCCGCAAGGGAGGCCCGGCGCCGATCCAGGAAACCAGCGCGGACCTCCGAGGAAGTATGTTCCTTCCGTGTTTGTCCTGGGCCCGGAGCCCTCGTCTCTAAGTCTACCGACCCCGATCCGTCGGGTGCGGGGCGGAACACGTCGCGGGAGGTCCGAGGACCCTCGCGCCTGGCGCCGCCGAAGGTGCAGCCCTTCCGGAGGACGTCGAAGAAGTCCATTGGCGCCCAGCACGGCGCGCGCCCTCGGCGCGGCACCGCGTCTCACGGGCAGACGGCCCCTAAGCCTACTACATGCTGCATGCTCGCCCGAGCCGACGCGGCGACGGGGGGGGGAGCATGAGCGGCGAACGCATCCGTGTCCACGCCCTCGCGGTCTGGACTCCGGGGGGGCGTCCCCGTGGATGCGCAGCCGCACGGATACGCTCCGCCGCGCGGAGTTTGCGGAGAGAGCGCCCCGTATCCACGGTGTCCCGGCCCGAGGGCCTGGCCCACGAGACTTTTTGGATGCGGAAGTGCTCTCTGCCCACTAGGGGGGGAAGGGGGCGCCGGGGAGGAGGAGCAGGAGCGGAGCGAGGGGAGGGGGGCGAGGTGGGAGAGAGGAGAGCGAGGTGGGAGAGCAGAGGGTCGCGGGGCAGCTTCCGGGAGGACTTCGTGGGAAAGGCGATGTCCTATTGAGCCCGATCCTTCAGGGGGCTGTGAAGCCTGTTCAGCCACGGTACCCAGCAGACGACGCAAATGAAATGAACCTCCCACGAGTTTGCAACCGAAAGGGGGGTGACGAGGAAGAGTTGGAAGACTGACAAAACGAAGGAGCTGCATAGTGCATGCTTGCGTTTGCAAAACTAAGTTACACCCTGTGCGTGAACTGTCGTGAAATCAGACGTCGCTAAACAAGCTACGACATCAGGCTCCGCGGGCCAGAAAAAAAGGCCAAGACGCAGAGCCAGAAAAAAATGAAACGCCCGCATCTCAGGGCGCAGTACCGCCGAGGAGGAGGAACTGACTGGAGCAGGTGGCTGTCATGGGATCTCGCAGGGCAGTCGACAACACAGTGCGGCTGCCAAGTGCAAGGAAACCAGGAAGCAAAGAGAGAAGAAGCAACGACCGACCGGCGGGCACGACACATTGTGAAGCTGGAGGTGGAGGGGTACAGTGGGGGCGCGGCCACAAGAAACCCTCGCAAGAAACCGAACTCTGAAAACCCGTAAAGTTTCTTGCCCAGGGCTTGAGTTTCTTAACCGACGGCGTCGCACGGAGAAGCCCAGCGGGCCCTGACCCGAGCAGTTTCTTAGCAGGCCGTCCTCATAGAATACGCCAGCACGGTTCGGGAAGGAAGTCCTGGCGATCTGGAATGTAAACTACATGGGATTACGGCAGCGTTCCCGTGGCCAAAGGAAATACTCGGGTACCCCGCCAAAGCCCGTAACCTTTCTGCTGTCGCCGCTAACGCCCGACGGACAGTCCCAAGGTTTCAAGAAACCGAAAGCGCATTGGTGGGCCGCGAAATTTCCCTGCAACCCCCGCCGCGCCACATCCTCTTTGGGGTTGCGTCGCCAAAGAAACCCAGGGGGCCTTGACCGCACGAAATCTCACAGCGTCGTCGCCGAGCGGCTTACCGACCGAAGTGCATGATGCCCCGAGAGAATCGCGCTGCGCGC